CCCGGTCGGGCACAGGCGGTGCTGCGGGCGCGATCCCCAGGGTGCGGTGACTCTCTCATCATCATGGATGTCTCTCTCTCTCCCTCTGCCTTCCCCTCCGACATCTATAAAAATATAATAGAAATGGATAAATAAAAGTTAAAACGTTAAAAAGAAAATAAAAAGAGCCCGCCGGGGCAGGACGAGACTGCCCGGGTCCTGCGATGGAGAATTACATGCATTTCAAGTTCACATTCCAGACCCGTCCTCCATCGCAGCCTCAAGTGCCTTCGGACACAGACAGAGGGGCCTGGAACGCGGGGTGGAACGATGACGTCACCGGCATTTTGTTTATTGCTTTAAAAATGTGTTTGTATTCATTTCTGAGAGGAAGGGAGAGAGAAACGTCCAGAATGAGAGATTCGTGGGTCGGCCGCCTCCTGCACGCCCCGCACTGGGCATCGAGCCCACAACCCCGGCAGGTGCCTGACCCACCGGGAATCGAGCCTCGACCTCCTCCTGGTTCCTAGGTCGACGCCCAGCCCCTGAGCCATGCCGGCCGACCCAGCTGAATGTTAAGTTTTACGAAGAGTTGAGAGCTTTCCTGAAGGTGCTCAGAGCTGAGTAACTGAGCCTGTGGCCTCTCCCAGGTCACGGGATCCGGAGCCCTTGCCCGGCCTGAAACGCGGTAGCCGTGTCGGCCGCCGTCCAGCGCCCAGGGGAGATCTCCTCTCCGATAAGGAAGGTGGTGAGAGCAGCGAGAGTTAGAGCCGGGGCCTGGCTTCCTTCCTGGAGGTGGTTTCCGTATGCAGAGGAGACAGAGGAGACGTGGAGTCCGGCTCACTTACTGTCGTGGTGCCCGGGTTGCACTGGACCCCGATGGGCAGCTCTCCCTTGGGGTCGGGTGGTGTCTGGGCTGGAGTCACCTGCAGGCTTGACTGACCGGCTGCAAGGTGCCCCTCCACTCACCTGTGTGTTGGGGGGTTGGGGGGCAGCGGGAGCGGCTGGGGGCGTGCGGAGCCCCTCCCTCCTCACCCTCCAACCAGCTGAGCCACGCTGGACGGGCATCGTTAGTGTTTCCAGCTTCAGTTTTCATGTCAGTCTTTTCTTCAGCTTGTAAACCACTGCCTTCTTTTTTTTTAATTTTTAAAATACATTTTTATTGGTTTCAGAGAAGGGAGAGAGAGAGAAACATCCATGATGAGAGGGAATCATGGATCAGCTGCCCCCTGCAGGCCCCCCACTGGGGATCGAGCCCACAACCCGGGCCTGTGCCCTTGACTGGAATCGGACCCAGGACCCTTCAGTCTGCAGGCCGACGCGCTATCCGCTGAGCCACACAGGCCAGGGCAACCTCCGGCTTCTTGCTTTCCTGACACGTGTCTCACTCTGTCCTAGGTACCTCCTACCTAACAGACGTGGTGTGGTGGGCAGGCACGATCGCAAGTAAGTACTGGGGTGGGGGGGCTTGATCTCCCTCCCTCCCTTCCTTCCATCAAGAAAATATATTTCATTGATTTCAGAGAGGAAGGGAGAGGGAGGGAGAGAGAAACGTCCACGATGAGAGGGAACCATGGACCGGCTGCCTCCTGCAGGCCCCCCACTGGGGATGGAGCCCGCAGCCCGGGCCTGTGCCCCAACGGGGTTAGAACCAGCGACCTCTTGGTTCGCTGGTTGAAGCGCGACCCCCGAGCCACGCGGCTCTTTCTGAGACAAGGACGTGTTGCCCCGGCCGGTGCGAAGATGCCCAGGTTGGGTTCCTCGCGAGGAATGGACAAGCAGCAGCTGTCTCGGGGCAGGGCCTCTGCGACCTGGCGAGGGGCCCTGGTTCTAGCGATAACCCTTCGCCTCTCTCGTCTGATTCCAGTGGCTGTTGGCCAGATCGGGAACTTCCTGGCCTACACGGCGGTCCCCACGGTCCTGGTGACGCCCCTGGGTGCCCTCGGCGTGCCGTTCGGGTGAGAGCTGGGACCCTGTGTTTGGGTTTGCATGTGTTGTTGACATAGATGGATAGAAACGTTTTATTTTCAGTGTTTCTGGTCAAAGAGTAAAAGTGAAATTGTGGCTAGAGAAAGTTCTTTGGTATTTTCCTCAACGTGGTTTAATTTATTCTTCCACGTTCAGTCGTGTGAATTACTATTTTTTAAACTCTCTCCTAAGGGTATTTTCTCCATTGATTCCTAGAGAGAGAGTAGAAAGGAGAGAGAGAGGCATTGATGTGAGAGAGACACGTCGATTGGCTGCTTCCTGCCTGCGCCCTGACCGGGTCTGGGGATCGAACCTGCAACCCAGGGTCACGCCCTTGACCGGAAATGCAACCCGTGACCCTTCCGGGCCTGCACACCCTGCATTGGGGATCGAGCCCGCAACCCCGTAGGCCACTGCTCTAACCACTGAGCACCGGCCAGGGCTTACGTGTTTTGATCATGAGTTGTCATTATGTTAGCAGTTTTAACATCCCACTTTCCTACCTGACGTAGGTGCTTTATTTTTTTAGAAAAATAAGGTGCATTATTTTTATTTTTGTCTGTCGTAAAGCTCACTTTGCTGCTCTGGTGTATTTCATATCCACTGAATAGCACGGTGAGTTGAGTCATTCACTGCGTATTGGCTGTGCATAGAGTTCGTATGAAAGTCCTATTTGTGTTGAATTAACTCCAAGAAGCTGCCCGTCTCTCTACTCTTACGAACTGAAAATTAAAATCCGCTGCGAGGAATGCGGGTTTTCCTAAGGAGCTGCTGTGCGTGGGGACGGGCCGAGGGTCCGATCCCAGCCTGGATCCCTCTTTTCTTGCATCGAAGGTCCATTCTAGCCTCGTACCTTCTGAAGGAGAAGCTCAACATCTTGGGCAAGTTGGGGTGTCTGCTCAGCTGTGCGGGCTCCATCGTGCTGATCATCCACTCCCCGAAATCCGAGAGTGTGACCACGCAGGCCGAGCTGGAGGAGAAGCTGACCAACCCAGGTGACCCCTCTCGGCCGCCCGCGAGCGCCGTGGGGGGACCCCGAGGCCCCCTGCTGTCCGGGTGCGGAGTGGCCCTGCCTCCCGGCCCGGCCAGGGGTCCACTCTGGGCCTGGAGCTGGGGGCCCCCGTGTCCCGGCCCCGCTCCCCCCCGTGTGACTTACCTTCATGGTCCCCACCAAGGTCCCTCTCTTTTCTGTGCATTTTAAAAAATACATTTTCATTGATTTTTAGGAAGAGAGGAAGGGAGAGGGAGAGAGAGATGGAAACATCACTGATGAGAGAGAACTGTGGATCCTGCACACCCCCCGCTGGGGACCAAGCCCATGACCCGGGCATGTGCCCTGGACCAGAGTCGAACCCGGGACCCTTCAGTCCTCAGGCCGACGCTCTACCCACTGAGCCACACCAGCCAGGGCCCATGATTCTCTCTCATCGCGGATGTTTCTCTCTCTCCTCTCTGAGGTCAGTAAACACGATTTTTAAAGCCACAGTCAGACGAGCTGGCGCTCGCTCGTGTCTTGCAGTGTTCGTGGGCTACCTGTGCATCGTGCTGCTCATGCTGCTGCTGCTCATCTTCTGGATCGCGCCGGCGCACGGGCCCACCAACATCATGGTCTACATCAGCATCTGCTCGCTGCTGGGCAGCTTCACCGTGCCTTCCACCAAGGGCCTCGGTTTGGCCTTTTGGTATCAGGTAAGGTATGCCCAGGACCTGCTGCACAGCAGCCCGTCCAGCCGACGCGCCCTGGGCCTCTGCCTGGTGCTGCTGGCCGTGCTGGGCTGCAGCATCATCGTCCAGTTCCGGTACATCAACAAGGCGCTCGAGTGCTTCGACTCCTCTGTGTTCGGGGCCATCTACTACGTGGTCTTCACCACGCTGGTCCTGCTGGCCTCCGCCGTCCTCTTCCGCGAGTGGAGCGACGTGGGCCTGGTGGACTCGCTGGGCCTGGCCTGCGGCTTCACCACTGTCTCCGTGGGCATCGTCCTCATCCAGGTGTTCAAGGAGTTCAACTTCAGCCTCGGGGAGATGAGCAAGGCCAGCCTGAAGGCGGACTA